TAATTAAAGTAAACTATAATACTATATGGTACCAATAGCATTGGGGTTCAAAAAAATTAAAACGTTTAAAAAAGGCGCCACAGCAATTTGGCTTTAGTGAGCGCTAAAACGCGAGTATTTGACAGCAGAACGGCGCTGAGGTGCTGAGAGTCTATGAAATTGTGATTAGTTCGTTTTTTTTAAGTGTTTCTTATTACTGTTGTTCCTGCTGATTTCATTGTCTGCCCGCATTACTCCCCTCACACACTTGACGATCGTCTTAGCGCGATTGCGGCATTTATCTCTTATTATTTTGAGATTTGAGATTAAACGCTTGTTCCACACTCTGCTTAACTGTTCCACTTGTTTGGTCTGAGTTTGCTAATTTAACATGCTGCTAGCACTTAGTATAGCAGAATTCTTGCGGCTGTTTGTGACTACACAGCGCCCACAAATCGCCCATAGCCGAGTCTATTGGTTCTTGCCGCGCTTTATTGGCATTGTTTACCTTAGCGGCGGTGCGGGGCCAGCAGTTAGCAGTCGGCGTAGTCAACAGCCGGTAAAGCTAAACAAACGCCGCGAGTGCGCTCAGCGATCGCTGAGAATTTCGACGCGCTGCCCAGTTTCCGCGAGCTGCCATGTGTTTTTCGACAATCGTACGCTCGCTATCTGAGTCAGTCGGCGGCTGCTATCGACGCCGTATGTAGTACGCAGAATACTGCACAGTTTTCGAACGTTTTTTGAGTGTTATCAACATTATTTGCATTTGAATTAACGCAGCAGTAACTTTTATTTGTGCGGCGATTTACTAATTACCTGTATTTACATACATACAAATATATGTGACTACATCAGTTGTTTAATATCTCAAGTGATAAAATACCGGAACGCATTATAACCTTATAAGCATTTGTTTTTGTTGTACACATACTCCGGAACATTTAGTCAAGTGCGGCTGTGTGCGTTTAAAACCGTGTTGAATTTCGAGTACTAGTCAGTAATAGAGTGTATTGTTTGTGTTAATTTACTCGCCTATGCAGCCTGATAATGCAATGTGCAGCTGGCAAATGTTGGTGAATGTGTCACATCGGCCGGAAAGTGCAGTGAGCGGGTTAAATGTGGAAGAAGAAATTTTTTGCAAGTAAGTGAAAGTAAGTGGCATCACAACAGCAGCTGTTTGCCTGCTCGTCGGCTGTTGTGCGGTGCCACACGTCGTATACGTAACGTGTGGCGTTCCGTGACGTATACGACGCTTGCAGCGCAATTGTAATTGTCAACAGCCTGCCATCCCACCGACTTGCATGTGTTCATTGTGGTGTGTATATGTGTGTGTGTGTTTGATTTAAATGTTTCAACGAACGGGTGGGTCTGCTGTGATATTCTATGGTACAGATTTGCATTTTATTAAATATACTCTGTGCGGTGCCATATTTATTTCTGATTTCTTTATGCGCACATTTTTATTTGTTTATTTTTTTAAGTTTCCTATATAAATTTTTTTTGGTTTTTCCTCTTCTTTTATTGTATTTTTATACTCTTGCAACTTAAACTAATCGAGATAAATATAGGGTTATATTCATATTTATAAATTATCAGGATGACGAGGCGAGTTGAAATCCGGATGTCTGTCTGTCCGTCCGTCCGTCTGTCAGTCCAAGCTGTTACTTGAGTAAAAATCAATCATTATGACACTTTGTAGACGTGTTTTTTAGGAAAAAAGTAAGAACGAGTTCGTAGATGGGCGTAATCGGATCACTGCCACGCCCATATAACGAAAATCACTAAAGTCCTATAACTAAGCACTTAATTAAGATATAGAATTGTAATTTGACACAAGGGATTGCAGTAACAAGGGGCACCGGTGGGCTAAAAATTTTGTAAAAATGGCCGTGGCTCCGCCCTCTAACAGGTTTAATGTGTATATTTCCTAAATCACTATTTCTACAATATAACAACCAAATTCACTCAGGGCAAATCATTTTAGCACCCCTACCTACAGTGTTAAAATTAGTGAAATCGCGTGATAACTCCGCCCACTCCCCATATAACTGTTTTGCTTAAAACTACTAGCAGTGCGATAACTCATTACATAAACAAGTCAAAATCTCAAAATTTTACATCCGAGATGGTAAGAGAGGGCTCTATAGGAGTCGAAGTCAAAATTAGGCGATGAGCTTATCACTGCCCACATTTAGATGAAAACCCATATCTCGGGACCTGCTCGACCGATTTCAGCCAATATATGGTATGTAGCATTATTCCGATATTCTTATGCCACAGTGTAAAAATGGACGATATCGGACTACAACTACGCCTACTTCTTATACAACACAATTTTAGAATCCATCTAATTCTTTCACTTTCGAGTATACAAATTAAGTACCAACGAATATATCGGGATAAAACTTTGCACGAATACTGACTTTGAAACCTGCCAGCTTATGACCAAATATTATCCAATTGGAACCAAATCTGTTCAAGCCGCAGGAACCGAATATATGGACCCCAGTTCTTATGGCGAACTTTTCATCGAATATATCTGTCAATCTGTGAGATATGTTATGGAAACCCAGAGAGAATCTTTATCTGATATTAATATGCCTGTGTGCCAAAAAAGGGCTTGAATTGGATAAATAATTCCCTTAGTCCCCATATACCTAATAGAAAATTTTTGTTCCGGTTGACTTTATACCGCAAATCGTGTTTTTTCATAACAATGTATCTTTGAATTAAATGGTTAAAATCGGGTGATAACTTGCCCTAACCGTTATATAACTAATATGAGGATTTTAAAACATCCGGTTACCTTTATCCGGTATATATTGGTGATGGTATGTGAGGTACCTACATGAAACTCATATATCATCTTTTTCTGTGGTAATCGCAAAAATGTTTAAAAGCGGTCCAATACTATCCCTATCGCTCATATACAAAATATAATATACGATTTTCAAACTTAGATATCTTAACAAAATTAACTGAACGGATAATATTGGATATACTATAGTTTAATGCCGAAAATATGTGATACGAATTACCCCAACCCTTATATAAGATATATTATATAATGATTTTCGTTATTCTAAGAAACCCAATGCTCAAAATGTTGGTCAGTATATGAGTTATATATTTATAAAATTAATTGAAGGATTTCCCCGAATTTGATCCTTGCAAGTTGCAAGAGTATGAAATGTTCAGTTGCACCCAAACTTAGCCCCTCCTCACTTGTTTTCTTTTTATGTTCTTATAATTTTATTAATATAGGTATGTATTATGTAGCATACATATGTATAAATGATAAGCGCGACTAGCTGAGTCGATTTAGCGATGACCGTTAATATATATGTGTGAAATAGCTCCTCAGTTTTTGAGACATCGATCTGAAATTGTGTACACCTCCCATTCTCACCAAGAAGCAGCTCATTTGTCGGAACGGTATCGGACCACTATAGCACATAGCTGCCAGGAATCAAGTTATTGCAAGAAAAAACTTTTTATTTGACAATATTTCTTAACAAAATTCGGCATGGATTATTATTTAAAGCAACGGTACAATCTCCGAATAAATTGTTTAAATCGGACTACTATAGAGTATAGCTCCCACACAAACTGACCGATTAAAATCCAGATAAAGATCTTTTTATACTCATTTATGCTATAAGAAATGCACCTGTGAAGGGTATTATAGCTTCGGCAGTCGAAATTAATTATTATTTTTCTTATTTTTGATTTTTTATGCGCACATTTTTGGTTGCTTATTTATTACTGTTTTTTTTTTAAATATATTTTTTTGCCGCTTTCTATTTTCTTCCTTCAATTTTTTGGATCTAATTTAATTCTTTTTATTTATGTCGTTTCTTCGTTGTTTTTTTTTTTGTTAAATTGTTATTATTTCTTTGTTTTTTGTTCTGTATTTTTACTTTTTGTTTTTAATTTTTAATTTTCTCTTTTTCCTTGTTTTGTGGGCGCATTTTTGCTATGTTGTTTGCTTGAAAACGAAAAAACGAAACGGTGGACAGTTCTAAGTTGTAAACAAATAAGCGAAAAACAAAAACAAGAAAACAAACCACAGATAATTAATTGAATAATTGCTATGGCACCATATTTAGTTTTTCGCTCACTTCGACTGGCTTTATTTATGCAAATATTTATACCAAATGCAAGCGCTTATGGTTCTAAATGTGTGTATGTGTGTGTGTGCATGCGTTTATGGCAAAACTTTATATATCACCACAAGCGCCGGTGTCCCTCAATTATTCTACACTCGCTACATACTTATACCTATACCCAGACACATACACGTACATACATATATACATATGCATATGTGCTGTTCTATACAATTTGTACGATGGCCAGTTTTCATTAGCTTCTGATTTTTAGTTTTCAGTTTAGTATTTTTGATTTCAGTGTCGCACACTCGTTGCGTTATATTGTTGTTATGTTCGGTGTTCGCTATGTGCTGTGCTGTGCTCTTTAGCTGTTGGGCTGTTTTGTTTGCACCGATTTTTTTTACCAACGATACCAACACGCTCGTGTATTCTCGCAGAGTTTTGTGCGAAGTTGACGTAGCGGCACTGTTGCGCCATTGTTACTAAATTTTTGCCGTTAAATTTCTTACTCAAAAGCCAAATGCTGGGAAAAGTATAATGATGTGCAAAATCACTTTAAAGTAAACTGTAAACAGTAAATATATCTACAAATGGCAGTTCATTAGCCAAAACCGTCAGTTGTGCAAATAAACAGCCAGTCAGCGAGTTGGCTGGTGCAACATTATTAGCGCTTAAAGAACTGAATGTGTTGTATATTGGATGATCGCTTCATTGTGCTATTGAGATACATGAGATACATATTTATGTAACGCTACAAATTGCAAAAAAAAAAAAAAACAATAATATAATTTTATATACAAAAAAAATTTAATTATTTTTTACATCTTAAAAAAAAAAATAATATTAAAACAAAACTATTTAAATACAGTGTTTTCCAAAACTAAATGTCAAACATGAAATTTCTTCTAGGACTTGCCAGTTGGGCAACAGATAGTCGTGACAAATACGATGGCAATCAAACAGATAAGGTGAGTACGACACTTTTGCTAACTCACTTATTTAGTACTCATCTAATATTTTGACTATTATTTATATACATGTACATATATGTACCGACACACACTATATATAACATATGCTATGCCTGCCGCTGGGTTGTCGTGACTAATCGCCGAATAACAAAAATAAAATTTTTTTTCATTTTTAATTCGTTTGCTTGTGATTTATTGCATAGTTTGGCGAATTTTTTTTTATGTCAAAGCAATATTTCTGCATATTTATATTCTAATAACGAACATTTTCTTTGAATATTAGAGAAAAATATATATCGTTTATTATCCACACCCTTTCGTGACTGCCCGCGTGTTCTTTTTAGTTTTTGCTTGATTCACTTGTTGAAACCGGCTTCCGGGTGCTAGTTGAGCATGTCTGCAGTGATTTAGATTACGTCAGACTATCGTTTACCTTTTGGTATTCTCGCAATTGTTTTTTTTAGTTATTCAAATTAAAATAATATTCATGAACAAAATCGTCTCAAGCAAAATTGAATATATATTTATATATTTTTAAAGCAAGCATTTCGATCGTCATAAATGTCAATATAACTTTAAAATTGAAAAACCAAAGTGAAAATGTTAACCTCGGGTGAAGCTATAATACCCTTCATAGGTACATTTCTATTATTTTTTGAAGATACATTGTCAAAAAAACATTTACATCTCAAAATGTAAGGATTCGCGTATATCGGAATCAACAGCTTGTATAGAAAGTTTTTTATTTGCCGAAATATCTTAACGAAATTAGCACAGATTTTTGACTATTGTAATGGTGTAATCTCCGAAAAAGTTGTTCAGATCGGTCTACTGCAGATAGCTGCCATACAAACTGAACGATTCGAATAAAGTGCTCGTATGGAAAGCTTCTTCACGAAATGTGTCGTGGATTACTATTGTTCTTGTTGTAGCGGCATAATTTTGCCAAGTTTCGTGAGACCGGACATCGATTATTGTCTAAGGCAAGGGTTGTTCATATCCAGTCACTATAGCATATAGCGGTCAGACACACTGATCAATCAAAATCAAGTGTTGTAAGGAAAACATAAACCTGTCAAGGGTATTGTAGCTTCGGTGCAGCCAAACTAACAGTTTTTCTTGCTTAATATTTCTACAGAATATCAAATAGTAAACTGCAGTAAATTTGTATTAACACTTTGTTAAAAAAATGTATTTTATAATATTTAATCTGAAAGTTTTATGCTTTAACGTATCTAAATCTCTATATATTATATAGTATTGTGATAAAAAAAATTAAAATTTAATAAATTAAGTGAATTAAATTTAGTGCGATCTAAAAACGTGTTTGATAATTTAGCACCCTTATTTGAGCCAGTTTCGAGGGAATTGAGAAATTACAACTAAGTATCTATTTTCTTCACGCATAAAATTATAACTGACGTTTTTTTTTGGGGCAAAAATTAGTGAAATGGTTGCTTTCGTTGCATACATATGTAAATAGGTGTATATGTAAATCTGTATTTGGGTTAAACGGTTTAGAAAACTACTTGAAATCATATTTCGGCGTTTAAATAAACGAATAAGAAACGAAACGAGGCTAGCATATTTTTCTACAAATTGAGGTACAAATATTGTTTAAGCGGGTTTGAATTTCCTATTTTAATTCTAATTTTTTAAATACGTTATACTTAAAAATCATTTTAATTTTTGAAACCTTTCTGGCAAATTTAAGGCATAAGTTATTAAAGAATATTCGTATGCTTCGTTGTTTTTGTTATTCGAACGCGCATTTTGCTTTTGTTTTCATTAGTTACACACAATAAAAAAACGAAATGAATTTTAATTATGTGAATCCCGTTACAATTCGCACCTTCTCAAAAAAAAAAAATCCGAAAAAAATGTTCAAATATACATTTGCATGTCCGCCGAAGCAGATATAAACAAGACATTCGCAATTTGTATTAAGTATCACTTGCGGCACGTGTAGATTTTAGCCAAAACAATTAGAATTATTTTTTCTTTAAGCTAATAAACTTTCTATATTAAGAGAAGTGCCCAACTAATAGCGTTTATCGACAATAAAATAGGCGAACAAAATCTTTCCATTTTCCACTTAACCAACTTAACTTTTTTAAATCTTTGAAACATTATAAAGATGCCTACACACACACGTGTTTAAATAGTTGAGTGTATTTGCAAGTTTTTGAAACATTTTGTGCGCTAATAAGCTAATAAAATTTTAGTGTTTGCTCATACTCTTCCATATGGTAATAAAAAATCACAACACGTTCGTTTCGCCTAACTTAAATATATATTTGTTTATACTCGAGAAACACAGTTGAGTTAATAAAAATGGCATAAGGAAAAATATATTGTTTAATGGGGTACGCTCTAGTCCTGTCGATGCCTTTTTAATATTTACACCCGGTCAATAAAATATGCGTTTGCACACTTTGTATGTGGTTTAGTGATGAAATTCGATATTGTTGTTCAACTTAGTTTCCTTAAAGAGCAACACCCCGGACGATATAGCGATCTTTCAACTTATCAAATATTTTTGTGCTAACGTTTGTCTTTTGCTTCAAAATAGGTTTTAATCTTGGAATATGAATTCATCCATGCTCAAGAATCTGTTGTGGTTAATACTGGGAAGCAATTTGAAGCCGAATTTAAATTTCTACATATTTTTCTTAGATTAGTGACACATTGTCTTAATGATAGAGCTCACTATTGTATTTGTTTTGGTTTACTGCGTATGGTCCAATCGTATGAGCGTCGACTGGATTTCGAAGTACCCTCATGCAGTAACGTTTTGTTTGTCCATTGTCAGATATTGAACGAAATACTTGTATTCGCGGTTATTATGTTTAAATAGCTCCAAATACTGCCAAAAATAATTAAAACGTTGCTATTTTTGATTGATTGCGAACACAGAGCCTTCGCATTCCCAAATACTCAATAAAATCTGTAGATTATAAAAAAAGAAAATTTTTGGACCAAAAAAATAATTTTTTTTTAACGTCTAGGACTTAGTTTTAAAGTAAATTTTCGAGTTAAAATTTTTATTTCGTAAATTTTTTTTGATAAGTGTTCTAGAAGCTGTGGAGAGTCCTCTTTCTAGCCAATTAAAAGTTATCAACTTAAAAAATTTTTTGTGGTCATTATTGGAGTTTTAAAAAAAGTCTTAAACGCTTTCCTAAGCGTTAAAAAAATTTTTGAGTCAAAAACCTTCACATTCGGTAATTTTTATATAAATGTAAAGAGTTTAAACCAAAAATAATTTTTTCTTGTCTAAAAATATTTTAATTCGAAATTTACTTTTAAACTGAGCCTCTAGATGTTAAAAAAAATTTTTTTTGTCCAAAAATTTTCTTTTGTGATAATCTACAGATTTTAACCTCAGGCTAAGAAAAAAAAAATTTTTCATCACAAAATACTGTATCATTCAGGGTCGATATGCATTTTCCTAAAATGGAATGTTTGATACATATTTTCTCGATATTATTCAGATTTCGGCTGTAGGTGGATTATTTATCAAAACGTTCAACATGACTATTAAATTTTTCAAAATAACGCATAAATTAATGTTTTTTGTTTTAATTATATATATTATTTAATGTTACTTGAGTAATGTATTTATACAGTTATACAATATAAATAAAAATTGAATAAATATTTCTTATTTAAATTTATTTAAAAACTTCCTATATTCTTTCAGACGCCGGGAGATCCATCCAAGCTTAACCGGAAGGAGTCTTACAAGGCGCAACGCAAGAATTATCGTCGGGAAAAGAAACGTGTTGCGTCTGAATTGCTGAATTCGCTGCAGGATCCCACTGTGGTGGTGCTAGCTGATTGGCTTAAGGTAATTAGTGCGCTTGTTTGCGTTCACTACGCAGTATGTATATTTGTATGTGTAAGTGTATTAATTGTTGCACACCTTGACTATATGCATGCATGGGGTGTTTTACCTAAATCGATATTCACCAGGTGTATTATTATGACCAATTATATTTATTTTTCATTTGTTGCGGTTGTTGTTGTTGTATAAAACTGTCAACAGTGTTGTATGTGCAGAAAATGTAACTTATATACATAAATACATAAGTACAAACAAATGGACAAAAGCGCCACATATACACATACAGATTTGTGTATACACCCCGATTCACTGGATTAGGTACATATTTTTGAGCAGTACTAATTACAAAAAGCACAAATTTGTAAAACTTTTATAAAATATTTACACTTGTATGATTAATCTAAACAATTTCTTATGTTGAGACTACTGTATCTATTCAAGTGACGCAAATTTGAAAGCACATTTTTAGAGTTATTCATGAAAACACCGCATATAAACAAAATTATGAAGGGTATATTTTTCATTTTCACAACATTTGTTCAAAATAGAACTGTCTTTAAAACCAAGCTTAAACTGAGCTTCTGCGCTGTCTAAAGGAAGAGATATATGTATGTTCGTATCTTAAAAATAAGATATGTACCTATTCAAGTGAATCGGGGTGTACAAATGTATGTGTGTATATATGTAAGAGCAAATAACATTTCATACAAAAAATAACTATCTTATGTCAAGTATACTGATATGTATACTTAATATAATCGCATTTAGTCACATACGTATACATACTAATGTAAGTACATACATATCGCAAACAAGGCTAATCAATGTTACACAAAAACAAGAAAAAACGTTAACTTCGGTTGCACCGAACCTATAATACCCTTCACAAATAGAAAGGTTCCTTACAAGAACTGGTGATTCCGATCTAATTTCGTGAAGAGACCTCGTCAAATAAAAAAGGTTCCCATACAAGCACTTTATTCCTATCGTTCAGTTAATATGGCAGGTTACATGCTATAGTCAACCGATTTATACAATTTTTTTCGGAGATTACATTGTTGCCTTACGAAATAACTCATGCCAAATTTCGTGAAGATATTACGTCAAATTACAGAGTTTTCCATACAAGCACTTGATTCCGATTGTTCAGTTTGCATTGCAGCTACATGCTATAGTGGTCCGATATCGGCCGTTCCGACAAAAGAGCAGCTTCTTAGTGACGAAAGTGCAAAATTTTAGATCGATAGCTTAAAAACTCAGAGACTAGTTTGCGTATATACAGATAGGCGGACAGGTGGAAATGGCTAAATCAACTCAGCTCATCATGCTGATTATTTATGTATATATTTTATAGGCAAACTTAATATACACTGTTCAGGGTATAATTATCGCTACATATTTATTTATCGAATTTGTGGCAACATTTTTTGTTTATCAGAATTGGTGTCAGTTAGTTTGTTAAAACCACTGATAACAACGGTGAACCACCGTGGCAATGGCGTCACTTAATTAAGTTACCGCCAAAAGTATAAATATGTCATTGCCTGCGACCTGACAGCAAGAATTAGATATAACCGTACCTATGTATGTACAAGTGTGTTTGTTTTTTGTGGCGACTCGTAGCATGCAGTAAGCGTAATAATCCCATTTAAGTGATTTTTTGGGTGACTGATAGTCGTGACGCCATATCTTTTCACATATATATACATATATGTATATGTGTATATATGTATGGATAATGATATATACATATATGTATATGTGTATATATGTATGGATATATACAGTACGTATCCTTATATGCATTACAACATCAATCTACTCTATATATATATATATATAATATATATAAGTATCAATGACATATTTTTTGTAATATACACATGTGTGAAAATGTCTTGCAGTGAAAGAACTAGTTGTAAACTACCTTACAACTAATATGAGTTAGAGCCTAACAATGTCAACCGTCTATCATTTCTTCATAAATAGAAGTAAATTATAAATATTTTCCAAATGCCAACAGACAGATATGTAGTAACCTCAAACTAGTTATGGGGCATACCTATCGTGGCCCTCTAGAAAAGGCGAATTTTTAGAATTAAAAAAAAAAAAAAAAAAAGACTAATGCATCAATTGTTACATTTGTAGATGTTTCAAGAAGATATCAATGACCTGCGGTCGTAAAAAAAATAAAAAATAAACAAAAATGTTACCTAAAATTTTTCACGTTTTTATCCTAACGAAAATTTGATCAGATCAAAAAACTGATATATGTATAGAGAACTCGCAGTAAAAATTTTATAGTGATCAGTGATCGGATAAATTGTCTCTGTGTAATGCTCAAGCAAATTCGAAAAATGTAGTTTTCACTAGAAAAAGTTGTTTTTAATATTCACTAAATTACGCTACAATATTCCTCCATAAACTATCGTGTGGTAACAGGCGCTTAGTTAGCGCGCTATTTGCATTAGCATAAAAAGTTCATCAAATTTTTTAGACTCGAGAAATTCTGCAAATTGCTTCGCTGCACCTTTCTGGTTATGAACCATACTTATCAGACAAATTGTATGTGTGCATCTCTAAAGTACTAATTTGTCATTTAAAAACTATTTCATGAATTTTGATATGCGATAAAATGAAGTCTCCTAATGTGAACACCTTTTTATAGCAAAACAAGCATATACAATTTTAACTAGTTAATTGTTTTACTAGTTACTAATAAATAAAAAGTTAAGACTTTATTTTCTTTACAATGACGTAGAATATATTTATATAATATTAAAACCTGAACACTAACAAAAATTCGCTTATCATTCCATTATTATTTGTACTTTGAACATAAAATTTTGCTAAAAAGCAGCAATTTACACCTATAAGCAATAACAAAAACAAATAATAAACCCAATATTCGCAATTAACATTTGCTCGAATTTATGTGCAAAGTACAATGTCTAGTAAAGCTTCATCTAAAAGCGTCTATAACATAATTCTTACACGAATAATTGACATTTTAAAATGACAGCAAAATAACTTTTATTTAATTAAACTAAAATATTAATTGGCATAAATTTCTTTACTATTTAATAGGTACGTGGCACACTGAAGTCATGGACAAAGCTGTGGTGTGTTTTAAAGCCCGGCATGATGCTGCTCTACAAGAGTCCCAAGCTGAAGAGCAGCCATTGGGTGGGCACAATAATGCTGACTTCATGTCAGGTCATCGAGCGGCCGAGCAAGAAAGACGGATTCTGCTTCAAGCTTTTCCACCCACTGGAGCAATCGATATGGGCGCCACGTGGACCAGACAAGGAGACAATAGGTCTGATTAGGCATTTCAATTACCAACATATTGATTTAAATAATTAATAAAAATATTATTTATGGCTTTAAATATCAAAATATTAAAATTATAATAATTACTAAACAGTTATGGTAGCTAAGTAGTGATAGATTGTTACAAAATTTTGCAGGCGCAGTCGTTCAACCCTTACCAACCGCTTATCTGATATTTCGCGCACCCAGTCAGGCGGCTGGCAAATGTTGGATGGATGCACTGGAGCTCTCCTTGCGCTGTTCAGCATTGCTCTTGCGTTCCAACAGCAGTTTAGGTGCTGTGCAGGGCACCAGTGCCAACGACAATGCGCAGATATCGCATGAAACCCAATGGTCGGAGGCGGATTATGAGAAGCATTTCAACGAACATGGTAAGTGTAACTATGTAAATGACAGATCTGAACCAGTGAATGTGCAACAAATTTATAACGGTGTAATAGAGTACTCTGGCTGTATCGCTCCAAATACTATATAATATAAAGAAAATTAGGGGAAGTTTCAAAAGTATTAAGTGGCAGTGAAATTAAAGCGGTCTGTTTTAAGGTACTTATACTACTTATGATATAAAGATATCTGAACGACTCCTTATAACATCTTGATTAACTAAAAATAATTTACTAAATTTTACTTTTTGGTTATTTGTCGAGCGTTTTGAGCCATAATATTAATTCCTAAAATACAGATTGCATAATGTGAAACTATGTGAATCATTATAATTTAATTGTTAAAAAGTTATAAATGAGTAAAGAGGACAAAAGGCCTGTGTAACGTGGAAAGAAAAACTGCAAAACGATATACATATATATCATATAGTATACAGAACTTAACTGCTCAAACGCTGTGCTATGCACTTAACCTAAAAATTGTATGGCTTATTTTTTTCAAACAAATACAGATACTCGTATGAAACAAACGATGAAATTAGGATCACAAATTATTTTCATGCAAATGAAATAAGTTGTAGAAAAATTGGGCCTCTTGTTGCACATTCTATTTTATAACTTACCTATAAATTCGACAAGTTTTCTAAAAATTTCTCACAAGACCCACATCCTGAGAACTTCTCACCGAGTGGTAGCATGCAGAAACAATATTCGCAGTATCTTATGGTGCCCGAATTGAGCAAATCGCACGCTAGTTCGGACACAAGTTTGACATCACGTGCACAGACACCAATTTTGCAGCAACTTTACATGACAATGACCCATTGGGAGCGTGTTGTTGCCAATTCGGCGGAGAAAAATTTACGCAAACTTCGCAAATCCAAACATTTAGGCAAACGTGATTCATTCGAGGGCATGAGTTCAATGGGTGATCTCAGTGATGTTTCGAGTGTTGACTTTCCATCTATGCTGGAAATGCACCAATCGTTAAAATTGAAGGCACGTCGACAAAATCAATTTATGAAATCGGCATCGTTAGGCCCGATGACACGTGAGACATCGTCATCGGTTGATTCTGTTGATGAAAATGCAGAGCTGGAGGCAAGATCAGGCGCATCTAGGGCATTGAGCGCACCACCTTTTGTGCTCAACGTTAAGGGTTTGATCACAACAATGTTTTTTTTTTTTCTTTATTTGTTACATTAGTTCGATATTATTTGCTTACAGCGACTGCACTGTTCGTTTGCTAGATGTGAGCGTAAATTTCAATAAATAAATTTATACTTGGGTAGAAAGAGTAAAATTTGTATACACGGAAGCGTTTCATATTGCTGCATTTCAGTTTTCATACATGCATATATACATATGTACGCTAAATAATGCTCGACTAATTGTAAATATTTTTCAGCATTGCCATTTTATCAAGTTTTAACCAATGCTACGTATTTATTGGAGAAAATTCATACAGCACTCGTTTCTTATATTCGTTTCAAGCATCTATTAAATGTTAAAAGTTCTTAATTTTGGGGACTGAGGTCGATGCCAAGGCACACAAGTTTTTTAAAGAGAAAAATTAATGTACTATATAAAGATATACGAAGATGATTTCAGTTGGAAGATTTCACTTCAAAATTAAAATTCAGCGTTCAAAAAAATATATTTAAGGCGGATAAGGCTTTAGTGCAGTCATAATGACAGTGAAATTCTGCTCGATTTCATTTATTAACTAAAACTTTATGAGAGTATTTTTTATTTGATTTAAGATCCCAAAATAACCAAATTTCTATTTAAAAACATCAAGAATTGTACAACCCTTAATCTACCTGTGCATAGCTTCTATATACATATGTATCTATACATGAGCTGGAAAATGGCCTAACAATGACTGATATGAATTTATTCCCTTGCCGGAGTAGTATATTTGTTGTATCAGTGCTTGGTTCAGCACTGTCAATATAGGCGTTTGTTTCCATCTTGACTTATTGATCCTTGTGTATAATCTTATCTGCGAAGCCACTTTCTGAGTTTGGGAAAGAACAAAGAGCCTTTGAAACTGACGTAACATTTATCAATATTTTGGTTTGCACGAAGGTTGTTATTTCCCTTAAAGAAACAATGTTTTATCAAAACACGAAACTCACTTTTCAGCAATGTAAACAAAAAGAGTACAGTTAGCGTTACCTTGAGACTAGTAACTTGATAATGCGAAGAAATGGCATAACACTTTGACAGTTTTTCTGCTTAGCTTAGTAGCTTAAAATGTCGATTTTCGGAAAAAAATGTTGTTTTAATTGTTTTCAAATGTTAAGTGTATTTTATATACACATTATATACATTGTTTGTAACGCGATCTCTCCGTTAGGCCGTAGACATTTCAACCTATGTAGTATAATTCAACAAATATATTTTTTATTTAAAAGAAAAAATAATCGAAAACTCCAAACTATTTAGTATATCATTCTTTTTTATGACATAGAATACAATCTAATAAGTCTTAATAGTTAAAAAAAAAATAAAATAAAAAATACTTTATGTAAATTAAAAAAAAAAAAATAGTCTCTACACATTCATCAAAATTCACCCGAACTGTATAAATATTGTAATTTAAAAAGCTCTTCGTAGTTGAAGTTGCTTGTCATTTGCAGAAATCAAATAAAATATAAAATATTTAGCTTTTCACTACAATTGTTGGAATTTGAACTAAGGCGAATAATATAGTAACAGATAAATCGTAGAAAATGTGGCCGCCCATATTGTTCAGTAATCTTAATCATCCTGTTGCATTTCGTAACTAAAATTATAGTGGTCAAATTTTAAATAATTTTTTTTTTTTCTTTTTATTTCATTCTACAACAGATCTTGATGGCGATAGCCAAAACGAAGGTGGTCCAGCCGCTATGTCAGGCGTCGATACAGAATCAGAATCAGATCAAGAGGCTGTGGTCGAAGACGAAGAGCCGGAAACACCATATGTGCCACTCACCGAAGAGGAGTTCGGCTCCGTAAGTTCGTGATTTAAATGTAGTATAGTCTTAATGTTCTAAACGTGCAACAAAATATTTTTAACATATTGCTCTGTATATAATAGGTGGGTGAACAGGTGGAAGAGCTTGCAGACGAGAACAAAAGCTTAATTTGGATTCTGGTTAAGCAAGTTCGGCCAGGCATGGATTTGAGTAAGGTGGTTTTGCCGACATTCATACTCGAACCACGTTCATTTTTGGATAAGCTGTCCGATTCATATTACCATGCCGACATCTTGTCGAGGTGAGTGGCATACAAAATGAGCATTACGATAAATCCACAAATTTTATTGAATAACAACTATTGTTTTGTATTTGATTTATTAAAGGGCTGTTACCGAAGATGATCCCTTTACGCGTATGAAGACCGTAGTACAATGGTATCTATCAGGTTTCTACAAAAAACCAAAAGGCTTAAAAAAGCCCTACAATCCCATATTGGGTGAAACGTTCCGCTGCTATTGGGAGCATCCAAACGGCAGTCGTACATTCTATATCGCCGAACAGGTGTCCCATCATCCACCAGTGTCGGCGTTTTATGTGACAAATCGCCAGGATGGTTTCTGCATCAGTTGCTCCATCTTGGCTAAATCGAAGTTCTATGGCAACAGCACATCAGCTGTACTGGAAGGCGTTGCCACACTCACGTTGCTACCACGTGGTGAAACGTATACATTGAATACACCATATGCTCATTGCAAGGGCATACTTGTTGGTACACTGTCCATGGAGTTGGGCGGCAAAGTTAACATTGAGTGCGAGAACACCGGTTACAAGACGGAACTGGAATTCAAGCTGAAACCATTCCTGGGTGGCTCGGATTATACCAATTTAATTTCGGGTAAAATTAAGTTGGGCAAAGAGACCATGGCCAACATAACTGGTCATTGGGACACCGAAATGACAATCAAAGAAGCTAAAACTGGCGAAGAAACTGTACTTTTTAAAGCGGATGCCGATACAAAACACAAGCGTCTAGTGCGCTATGTAGTACCTTTGGACGCTCAGCTACCAAACGAATCGGAACGTTTGTGGGAGAAAGTATCGCTAGCGATACGAAACGATGATCAGGTTGGTGCAACCGAGGAGAAGACCGAGTTGGAGGAAGCGCAGCGCAACTCTGCAAAGGAGCGCAAAGTATTATCAATTGAGTGGACACCGGTACATTTTAACTTCGATCCCATAATAACACAGGTGAGTCGCTAAGCATATGTTGGTAACTTATATAAGACGACTTAAGTGTACAAAGTGCTTTAAGCGAAGTGATGAAATATTATGATTGCATATAAATATCATAACGAAGTTAAGGATTTGTTTTAAAAAGCTAAAGGTAATGAAATAACACTAAATTTATACTTCGGTGTGTTCTGCAACATTTCCAAAGTAGTTGTCTGTTTATGTACTAAATAACTGTACATATCTTATGGACTTCCCGAGTACGAAGAAGTGCTTATAAATCCGAATATTCACAATTTTAAGATGCTTGGACAATTCTGATAATGGAGAACGCGTTTAAAAAATTTGTATTTTCATATTTGTTTTTTTAGCAGTAAATAGTTTCAAATCTAGTCAATTTATGTTGAGAATTCATTTAAGCTAAGCTATAACTGTTTTAAAAATTGTTTACATTTAAAATTGTTTATTATTTAGTATTAGTAGTGTAATATTTTGTTAGTTTGACATGAAGTTTGTAACACCCAGAAGAAAATATGAGAGACTCTATACAAGTATATACATGCATATAAAATTGATGGCAAGATATCTTCACTAAATTTTGCCTGGTTTATTGTCCAAAGCAACAGTTGAAACTCCAAAGCAATTGTGCAGTTCGGATCACTATTGCATATATGGCTGCCATACGGGATGATCGTTCAAAATCAAGTACTTGTAAAGAATCTTTTGTATTTGTGAAGGGTGTTATAGGTTCGGTGCAATCGAAGTTAACGTTTTTTCTTGTTTTTATTTATTTTCCGTAATTAATTAGTTTTTTTTTTAAATGTTATGTAACAATAAAACGTGTATATAGTGACATTTGTATACGTATAGCCGTAATATTTGTGTTTAATTCGAATACAATTTAAATTCGTTAAATTCATAATTCCTTAACTCTCTGCAGTGGATGTATACTTATGCTGACTTACGTCCATGGGATCAACGCAACGACTTGAAACAGTACGAAGCGAATTACAAAGTACTCACGAAGACACGCCATCGAGCGCCAATGGTGCGTAACCCGAGCATCGTAACTGCCGATCCAATGCAGTTAATTAAATCATCTTCTCTATTGAAGGTAAAACATAAAAGCCTATCGATTTTGGGTCCACCACACGACGATGAAAAAACCGATTCGAGTGCATCAAATCCGGATGTGAATAAGGAGCCACACGAGAAATCGAACAAATCAATACGAAAGTATGTGAAAACTTTTATTTTTGCTTTTTACCATACTTTATTCTTTAGAATTATTTATAAATAAATACATATTTTTGTTTTTCAGACTGGTATCAGCCATTGAAAAGATGAATCATACTCTGGAGGAGCAAACGAAGCAATTGCGTGTAATCCAAACAAATTTGGAGCGAATTCACTATAATCCCAGACTAATGGCGCCGACTACATCTACTGGACGTTATGCTGACATTGTGCCGCGCACCGTGCCACAAACGGTGGTTATAAAATCAATGGTTTATGCATTCGTTGGCCTAGCGGCCTGCTTTGTTATGAAATGGATGTTTAAGTAAATCAAGTATTAACTCGGTTGTAGCGGTGAACGAATCATAAGTTGAATTAGTTAGGTAAAACGCTTATTGTTCAAATAATCATTGATGTTGTTGTTGTCAGCGCAACGAGACCGTGTGCAATATTGTATCACACAAGTAAATATACATCAAGCGATGTAACCGTAAATGTTGCTTAAATTACGGTTTTACTGTACACATTTTTACTCTAACTTTAAAATCGTTTTTAAAATAATATGTTACTATAGTATTACCTCAACTTGAATTATGTTAAGCTATTTTAAACATTTTCCTATATATTTTTCGCGTTTAGGTTGTAAACTTTTCAAAAACCTCTAAACTACATGCAAATTGTTTTATATACAGGCGGTTTGATATTGTGTAATTATACATATACATACATTTATGTACATAAGTTTATTATGTATTTGCACGAAAAGTGTAAAGAGTTGTGTATGTTTATAAGTAAGATAATAATTTTATTTGAGCTTTACTATGAAAATCTCGATGTCTTTTAAGCTAAGTGCTGCTTATGCAATACGTACTACTGAACAGTGGCTTATTCGGCAGCTGGTACAGTTGCTTCATATCAGAGATTAAGGGACACACCTGTGGCAACCTAAATTGTTTTAAAATAATATTTATTTGAGGATATGGCTATACATATTTTAAGAATATACAGCAAATTTTGAAGAAAAAAATTAAATTTTTTTTCAAGTTACACGCGTTGTTGTGGTTGTAGCGACAGAATTCTGCCGAGTTCACAGTCCTTGGCCGGATAAAACCGTGCCGGTTACGTAGACCCGACTGTCGTGGGAACGCGTTCTCCGACGCCGCTAAAAAAAAGATCTTTCACTGCTGCATTGGTTTCAACCACTTCCGTAGATCAAAAATAAAAAAAAATCTCTACTAGAAGTTGTCGGTACAATAACCTACGGTCGAAAAAAAATCGTCAAAATGGTGGCGGTTAAAGAAAAGTGTAATTTTACACAAAATTTTTGTCATTTTTGGCCTGCCAAAATTCGATTTTTGATCAGATCAAAAAATTTGTAGGTCATTGTATGGAGAACTATAACAATAAATACAGAATATGCGGATAAAATTTGATAATCACTCAAGCATATTTGAAAAATGTGTAAAGATAAACTGTTGTAGTTGATTGCACTGAGCGATTACACTTTATAAGGCTGTAACTCAAAAACTACTCTATTAAAACTCAAAAATCGATTCTTAATTTAAGATTTTAGTATGTTATTTTTAAAGGTATAAAATAAAATTGTTTTTTTTTTTTTGTAATTTCTTTTTGTATTTTTTTTTCTTTTGTAATTTCTTTGTGTATTTTTTTTTCTTTAGTTTTCGCTTTTTTACTTGGTGGGCAATTTAATTAGAATATAGTGGAGAAGTCTCGAGTAGAAATCTCCAGAATTGTTAGTGTCACAATCTTATGTAAATTCAAAATTAAACTACTGGCGGTTCACACAACTATCACCAGTAATATTTTCCTATTTTTTGACAAATTTTTGGAGCTAATTTCTTTCATAAGTTGTTTTGAGGTTAGATGTTTTGAAATCAGGAGTTGGTATGTTTTTTTTTAATTATTATTTAGTTTTTTTTTTTGTTGTATTAATGTTCTGCAACCATTTATCGTTAAATTACTATTAATGTAGGGAAACATTGCTCTTGGCACATGGATCCACTGTAAACATAATAAATAAATTTGATTTCTTTTATAAATACTACAAGTATATATTTTTTATTTTAACTATTATAAAAAATATTTTAAGATTAAAAGAAGAAGAAGCTATTAGCTGCATGTTGGATTTGTGAAAAGCTGTTGTTCGTGTTAGCGAGATATTATGTAATGTAACTCATATGTATTTTTATTATGTATCGTGATCGTGTCGTGATTTGCATCAACGAAGTAAGACATTTAAAATTTAAACAAGAAAATACAAATTTATAACATGTTCTGATTATCGCACCAAACATCGATGGTTACATTTAGGAAATATCTGTCTCTTTCACTATCTTTCTTGGTCACACAACGCACTTGAACGGCATATGAATTAAAAAAAAAATACTTTCCACAAAATAAAAGCACCATGACAGGAATCAACACAAATTCGCTTATTAGCCACGATTAGACTATAGAATATATTGCTATGTACGCTAAAAAAAAATTTATTCTGTTAAGAAAACTACAAAGAGAGTAACATGAAGATGATTACCTACATACATAAGTACACAAATGCTGTTAACATTTCAAGTCCAATAAACGAAACTCTATACTTTATTGCTTTTGTGTTTCAATTGTGTGATTGTGCAGTGCCATCAAGTATGGATTTTTTTAATACTCCAGTGAATATGGCAAGGCAGTTTTTAATGATTATAAATTACTAATTGAAGCAATAATTTTTTAAATCAATACTTAAGAGAAATCCATTATGAATTTCAAAAAGTTGAATTTTTTTCTTGTATGCATATCTAGCGTACATACATATGTACATATGTATATTTAAAAATATTCTTCGAAAATTTGAAGTTGATCCAGCAAATAGTTTCGGAGATAATCCTGCATGTGTAAGAATTTTTTAATTTAGTCTAATTGGTCTCCAAAACTTTAAACGCGTTTAAGGTGTTGGAAATTTCGCCGATAAGGCTGGACCGATCGACTTTTAAAATTTTCACACGACCTTCTTCCATATTTTTACTAAGCCGCCATTTTGTCAATAATTTTTGACTAGTCATTTAAAATTGTTGACAATTTTGTAATCAGAATCTGTATTCATCTAAAATGATTTTTTTGGATTTGAGATAATTTAAAGCAGAAAAATTATTATTACCGCCAGACATCTTTTCACGGAGGTTCTCCTAGAGATCGGTAACGGGGTCAAAGTGATACAAAATATTTCAAAAAGAATAGGTTATAAGGTGAATTAAATTCTGAAAACTTACATAATTTTTTATTTTTTTAATAAATAAAATGTCTTCACAAAAAAGTTCGCAAACAATCGTTTTTTCTGCCTAACAACTGGAAATTATATGTATTTTGTCGCGATTTACGGCTTTTGAAGTGTATATTCAACAAATCTGAGGCTAAAAGAAATATTGGTTTATGTGGTGTAACGTGAAGAGAATTTTAACTACCTCAGATGATGTTGAGCTCTATTTCTATGTTGAAAAATTAGACCTTGACAATTTATTAAAACTTAAGAAATTTCCTTTTATCAAAACATTTATTTTTAATTTTCGCACAATACAAAGTTTGATTTCAGAAATGTTTTCTTAGCCGAAATTCGCAGCTATTTTCACAAATTAGTTGTTGCATAGCGAATAGTTTAGATGGAAATGACAGAGCTGATAGTTCTTGGCCGGATATAGATCAAGCGTCGTTCAGTTTTCTTTTAACAGCATGTAAATTCGAACAATTCTTCGTACGTGTTCGTGCGTACAATTTATATTAAATACATCCATCCATGCTCGTTTAAGTCATTCCGCAAAGCCAGTTGTAAAACAGCATTTAACAATAAATATGCATTAAAAGTGAAACCTTGCGAGAGCCGTTATTTATGCATGACCTTTTTATGAAACGAAATCCCAATTCTTCAGTTGGGTTATGGTAAGCGTTGATTACTTTTTACTAGATCAATAACAGTCCGAAATGAGACTCGTCGGTGATCACGAGCTAAAAGGCATCAACTCAAAAATTAATACCGCTTCGTATAAACAAATTTTTTTACTAAAATAATTCCATCTTCAGAATTATAGAAACAGAGGAAAAAGAATAGAAGCAAAACCAAGTATTTCACTACACAATAAAATAGCATCGTTTACGTCACATATTAGCTTACTCAAAATCAGCAAAAATTTCAAACTGTCAATGTGTTAAATTCCGACTTAACTAGCATTTACCAGCCGTTATAATTCTGCGAATTGCCTGCAAATATACACAAGTGGATATTAATACAATTTTACATGAAAATTCAGATTTTACATACTTCGAAAATTCGAATATGAATATATATAATTAAAAACTAATTAATATTGAATGAGTAAAAGCCGCTTAGGTATTTTCTGCTTACAAATATCGCTTTATTCTACATGAATTTTATTAAACGTTTTTGTTCTACGCACATTATAATTGGTTTTATACGTAATAGTACAATTATGCATGTTAAATATAATTTGCTTGTTCTTTTTAATTTAACTTTATTTTATTTTACCTTTTTTTTTTTGCTCGTCGAAAACATCCGCACAAACAAGAAGCGAACTTTTTTGAAACAAAAGAGAACACCCTGTATGTGTATGTATATAGCAGAGACATGCAAGAGTAAGGGAAATTGTATCATTTCCGGCAATTCGCAGATGTCGATCACGAAAAAGAAATGATTTTCATGGCACCGCAGGAAAAATAGTTGTTGTAACAGTGGAAAAACTTTCGTTATAAATATGCTGAAAATGCTTTCGTTATTTGAGGAAATTTTCCGATCCGAGAGATCTCTACTTGATTTGCACTGAAAACCTTATTTTTTAATTTAAGTCATTTTTGCTAAAGGTTTACACAAACAAAGCACGAAATATTTAAAAAACTTCAAAGATTTAAAATTAACCTTGAAATACTGAAAATAAATCTTCAAATATTAAAAAAAAAAAACATTTAAAATGTATTTAGTCAATAAGTTCCTCCTTTTCTTATTTTCTACAAATTACAGGGTTCGTAGTTTGTAAGCGACTATTTTTTAAAAAGAATTTCTGTTCGTTATAAATTTCTAAAAGTCAAACTTATAACCTAAATTCTCACTGAACTATATAGCGAATTTGCAGAATCTTGTTCTAAAATTTGAAATATTTGCAAACTGCATTTTTACCCTGCAAGTCAGCTTTTGTAAAATCATGTTAATTACCGGAAATTTCTGTTAAAGTTTCTATGAGTTTTTGAAGCCCAATTTACAATTCTAAATGAAACTCTCGTGTACGTGTGAGCGTTCATCCCTTTCTTAATCAAATGTATAATGCGATGCAATGGGTGTATGTATTGGTTTCATTAAAATTTTCCAATGTATTGAAGTTTCGAGTAGGCGTGACTTGCTGGGTAAATCATTTCCGCTTTTTGGTTATTAGTTAACCTCACTTGTAGGGCTGAGGATATTTTAACAATAAACACTATACAAAAGCTTTGCAGTTATTATATAAAATGTCTAAATAAAGTGTTTTCGATTTTGCTCAAAGCTTCTCTCTTAACTATCTCAGTTATTGGTTTGCCACACCGCATTTTGACTGTCACTTACTCACGGCCTCCATACAATAACGAAATTAAATAGATCAAAAATTTGATCTGCAAACTTTTGTGAACTACTATTATCAGAAATTTAAAAAAATTTAACATTTTGCTAATAGATCATTTCCTAAAATATTCAACTTGGGTTTTACTTTTGAGCACTTGTCATAAAAGACTACACTGGAATTCCAAAAACAAGCAAGTACAGTTAACACCAAAATGAACTGTTAAATATTAACGTAACTAACGGAAGATGAGAAAATAAAAATAAAATAAGTTTTACGGTGGAGAGTACTGCAAATCAAAATTAATTATTTAACCTCAAAGCACAAATAGGAGAGGTGAAAAATTTATGACGAAATACTAACAATTACTATTGCAACATCCCTATATTTTATGGCATACAGAATAATTGTATGCCATCAAGCAATTTTTCCGAAATCTGCGATGCTGTTGTTATCTTACGCATTCGCACTTACTCAAGCAGCTCTTTAGTATATAATAAATTTACATGGACAATACATATTGCACAGCAGGTAGGTAACTCATTACGTTTAGCAGCTGGTTATAGTTATTGAACACCGAAATAACAATGGTGTTTGCTTACTTCCATTGTTTCTACCACCCATGGTAGCACGTGTGGTAGGTATGCTGATAATGCCATTTATATCTATGTTTATTGGTTGTGTGGGTTATGGTTATCTGCTATTTCCAATTTTCCAATTGGGCTAGTTAGCCAATACATCTATTATTATGATTATTACTTCATATAGCTTTTGGTCCACCAACGTCGTTATGCTTATTATTGGATAATTATTTGCATGGCCATTTTAACAATTGTGAATTCTGACATGATTAATAAGAGTGCTTTTCTGCCGGAATTGCTTAGGGCAATAGGAACAGCTGTAGGGCTTTTCGCCAGTATGTATCTTTAAATGATTATTCAAGGTGGACAGTTGTCGAAAGTTCGACTCGCATACTTTGCATTTATATGGCTTTTCGCCGGTGTGCGTCTTAATGTGGTTAGCCAAAGTGCTTTGTTGTGAGAAGGCCTTTCGGCAAATGGCGCATGGAAATGGGCGATCCGGACTCTCTAGCATTAAGCTATCGGCCTCGTTTTTGAAACGACGACTGGTGTTGGGATTGAATGGCTCCTTCGCAATGGTGCTTACTGTGGTGTTGCTATCGAGAAAATGCAAAAGTGGATGTTCGGCTTGCAATTGTTGATGTACCATGTTATTGAGTGGTGGATGTTCTCCATGTGCTACAAGACTTGATGTGGTCATGTGATTGAGTCCATGTGGGGCTGCCATTGTTGTTGTTGTGGTTGGCACTGCATGCGTATTGCTGACGGCTGTTTGCGTGTAAATTTAAATAAAAGCTTTGTTAGGGGGAAATTGGAGTTAAAATTTCTCAGTCGAACGGCGAACACACAAAAGGCTCACCTGTGGTGTGTGTCTTCATGTGGTTGGTTAGAGTACTCTGCTGTCGAAATTGCATGGAACAAAAGGAACAGGCATATGGCTTATCACCGGTATGAATCTTTTTGTGATTGGTTAAAGTGGCCAGTTGACTGAAGGACTTGTCACATGTGTCACATTTATACGGCTTGGGATCGATGTGTGTTCGCTCATGGTTATGTAGTGTACTTAGTTGTGGGAATCGTCTTTTGCATACATTGCACTGATACGGTTTGACCAGCTCCTCGGCCTGCGGCGAGCTGTAGCTACCAGTATAAAGGGTTTTTGTTATGGATCGATTTTGATAGTCTACCATTTGATTTTGAGCCAATTTCGAATTGCGATGATTTAGTTTACTACCCGGCTGATAATTCAACAATGAGGTTGGGGTACTCGATTCTGTAATAAAGTTTGTTATTGTAGTTACTCGGTTATGTGGATATAAAAAGGCTAACCTTTATGTGTCTTGATGTGGTTGATTAGTGTACTTTGTTGGCGAAAATCTTTTGCGCATATAGTGCATGTGAACGGTTTTTCGCCAGTATGAATTTTCACATGATTGGTGAGCGTTGAAATTTGGCGGAAGGCTCGATCGCAATGCTTACACTTATACGGCCGCTCATCGGTATGGATTTTCATATGATTGCGCAAAGTAGTTAACTGTCGAAATTTATTCTTGCAGACGTGGCATTCCTTCTTCTTGCGCGGATCGTCTACTTTCACTTCAATCGGTTCGGGTTCCGGTAACTCCACTTTCGTTGGCGGCACAGGTGTTGGATTCGGTGTATTTGTTGTAGAAATATCAAGTAAATGCACCAGCGGATGTTGCGGGTGTAGCATAGCCTGATGCGTTGGATGTTGTATAGCTTGTACAGCAGTCAATTGATGTAATGTAAATGGTGTACTGCCCGTCGCTATAGTAGTCTGCTGCTGTACTGTGGTGGGCGTGCCACCATGCGTTGATATTTGAGGTGGCGGGTAATGTTGGTAGTTAGCCATTGCAGTGGCGTGGTTGAGGTGCATCTTTCATGAGGTATCGTAGAAAATCGATAGTTTAAATTTTTATTGTCTGCGTTCGAAGCACAAATTCATAAAATGCCTACAAAATTCAATTACAAACAATTATTAAACACCAGAGGACGCTGTGGTAGTTTTTTCTCACCGTTCAATTGTTATTTTAGGCTGTCTGCAATGGGCAACGTGCCACCCGTTTCCAGCTTCACTTATTCAAAGTAAAAACACAAAAACTACACTTGGAAAACACATTATATAACACTGCTAGATATATTTTACACTTCTTTTATGTAAAATTGCATTTTGCATGAATTATTTTTTGAATTGTATAAAAATCGACGCTCAAGGATGAAAATTTTTCAGGAAAAGAAAACAAACCAGCTGGGTTGGTCAGTGTCAAGCTATCAAAACAAAATTGACAGTTGGCAGTGTTGCAGTTTCCAGTTGGATAGCGTGGCTTTTATGGTGAAAAACATGAATATGTGCTGCCTTATCGGTCAAGCAAGTAAAGTTATTGTATGTTTTAAGTGATTAAAATCACAATTAATATGGTAAAAACAATTTCAAAATAATACTTGGATATGCCTTAATAACGTCTACATATTTTGAACCATCAAAGTCCCTTTTTAGCAAATACATGTATGTGTACCAATTATAAAATAGTATGGCAACATGCAGAATCATAACACATTACCAACCCTGATTGGAAAGTGGTGACATCTTGAATTCTGCGTTTTTCATTTGGTTAAGTTTGTGTTGTCTGATGTTTTGTAAATGAATAAATTTCTGTTTAATCATCAAAGACGGCGCTGGTTTACAAAAATTTAATATTTCGTTTTAATAGACATCTGTCTACTACAACAAAATTAAAAGTGATGAGCAATAAAGACGAAGCCGGGCCGTCAAAAAAGCCAAACGAAGACCATCATCCACGCCGAAGTGCCAGTACAGAACGTGGGGAAGTTACACCAAGTACAAGTAGTAAGTTTCAGGCAACAATGTTTAAAGGGACAATATATTTCTACAGTTTCGAGTGTGTAAACAAAAGTAAAAGAACAATTCTCGGCTTCATATATTTGAATACCTTGATATGCTCGTAACTTTAATCTTCGGAATTGTATTGCACAGTGAAAGACAAATGCATCTCTGCGTTTGAGATGCCATCCGACCGGTTTCTACCCATTCGTGGTTGGATGCACTAGTGTATACAAAAACCGAAACCACTTAATTGGTACAGTAGGGTTAAAAACGTACGGTTTTTCTGGGGAACACAAATAAACTTGTCAACCAGTCGTCATTTTGGTACATGCTAACATATCGCAATTATAAACCATTTTAAAAAGAAAATTATGACCCAAATGCTATAAGTATTTATTTATTATATATTGCGACCTTTTCACAAGTAACATAATTTGAATCTTGCAAATAACGGCTTAATTTAATCTTCAGTATAAACCACTTCAGAACTGCACCCTAATAATTTGATCTTAAGTTTAAACCACTGGGCTAAATTATTACTGTATTATTTTATTATACCCTGAAAAGGGTATATTAAGTTTGCCATTAAGTTTGTAACACCAGAAGGAAACGTAGAAGACCCTATAAAAAATATATATATATTATATATATATGTATACATATGTATGTATAAATGATCAGCGGGACGAGATGAGTTTATTTAGTCATGTCCGTCCGTCTGATCATTATAGCATACAAACTGACCGATCGAAATCAAATTCTTGCAAGGAAAACTTTTGATTATACAGCTTTTAATGATTATATTATATAACTTGATATGATTTTGATTATACATACATATATTACAATATATGACAAGGTACACTTCAATTTCCGAAAATATTGTGCTCCAATCAAAATCATATTATAAGGAAAACTTGAATATGTGGAGGGTATTCTAGTTTCGGTGCAGCCGAAATTAAGGGTTTTTTTTATTTTTATTTTAATTGTTTTTTAAAAAAATGTATAAGTATGTGTTTTAAATATTCCATTTTTGTTTTTCTAGGTGTGTTGGAATCTATTCGCGCGAATTTGACCCACTTGTTCTCTAGGCTTTCAGTACACCAAGAACCAGGGACTGGGGTGAAGTTGATTATATTACAAAATCTGAACTTGTGAAAACTAATAATATTCTTCAATATCTATTGTAGGTTATTCCAAATTTAACGTTTGACGGATTCTTGCAACATTGGAAAGATAATGGGTTTAGAAAAATTATTACGTTAGTTGGAGCGGGTATATCAACATGTAAGTTTAAATGGTTATCATTTGCTTTTTTTTCCTTTGTTACCTTTCATATTCTTTATTCCATTTGTTTTCCAAAGTGTTCCTCAAAAATTTGTTATTGAATTTCAAGAAATGAATAAACACATTGATTTTTAAAATTATTTTAGCTGCGGGCATACCGGACTTTCGAACACCTGGAACGGGGCTTTACGACAACTTAAAGAAATATGATCTACCACATCCAACCGACATATTTGAATTGGACTATTTTTTGGACAATCCAAAGCCATTCTTCTCTTTAGCAAAAGAGTTGTACCCTGGACACTTTACTCCGACACCAACTCATTATTTCATACGACTTTTAAATGACAAAGGTTTGTTGGTTCGTCATTACACACAGAATATTGACTCCTTGGAACGCATAGCTGGTATACCGGAAGATAAGATGGTCGAAGCACATGGCACATTTCACACAAATCATTGTCTTGAGTGCACGACATTATATTCAAAAGAATGGATGAAGGAAAAATTATTTAGCGATACTTTACCCCTGTGCGACCATTGCGCTGGCATTGTTAAACCTGATATCGTTTTCTTTGGTGAAAATATGCCCGACAGTTTCTATAATATGCCAACAGAAGATTTCAAGAATTGCGATCTACTTTTTATTATGGGTACATCATTGGAGGTGTATCCTTTCGCTTCGTTGGTTGGGTATGCAGAACCTTCATGTCTACGTGTTCTGATCAACAGAAATGTCGTTGGAAAATTTACGAGCCCGGTGAATAAGCGAGATATCTCCTATGTAGGTGATTGTGATGACGCTGTGTGGAAAATAGCTGCGGCACTGGGTTGGACTGCTGAGCTCAAAGCACTGATTAAAAAAGAAACTGGACAATTTGAAAAGCAAAAGTCCAAGAGCGTCAGTATAAAATCTGATAGCGAGAAATCTAAGCAAACGAAGGACAAAAAATCCTAAACTATAATACCTAATAAGTTTAATAACAATAGAATGGATTTAATAATACAAACGGGTTTGTGCAATAGGGATAAAAATAAATGTGTGAAAGTTAAGTGATCTGTAAATATTTTGAATAGTTATTACTTCAAATATACACAAACATACATACATATATTTTTGATATGTAGACGGACTAGAGATTTGAAATACTGCTAAAATCGACTATATAATAAAATCATAAAAAAGTAAATCTATTTGATTGGTTAACCTCACTTTATGTTTTTTGTGTGTGTTTGTACTTTCACTTTACGACTTCAATTACGGTTTTTAGTTAAGTAGAATTGTGATAGAAAAAGTAGTAAGCTAGACCATAACATGCTTTAAACAAAAACATGGTTTCTCAACAGGCTTGCGAATTTTTTTGATTAAAAAATTTAGGATAAAAAATTTGATTCTAAATTTTTAGTTCTAATTTTGGAGTTCAGAATTAAACATTAAATTTTTAATAACAACAATTAATTACGAATAAGATAAAAAGAGCTAAACTATGTTGATATTTTATTACAAATAAGCTTTTTGACTTAGAGATTTGAAAATTATTATACTCTCTCAACATTTTGCTACAGAGTAAAATAGCTTTGTTCACATAACGGTGAATAACGGTCAATATCTTTGTTCGCGCCCAAGGGGTTGGTATTGCTGATGAGCGGAATCGGTCCTTTTCCGCCCCCACAAAATGTCATTAAGTAAAAACATATAAAACCCACTTCAAATTAAATTACAAAGGAGTATAAATAAGCACCAAGGTTAACACATTTTTAAAAAGTGGGTGTGGCCTCGCCCTCTTATAGGTGTAAAGTTTAACCCTTATGTTGAATAGCTTAAAAACAATTCAATATTTCATTCAGCTCTCAAATCGTCGTTTTTTAACATAAATGAAAGCTATTTGTGAGTTAACTTTTTAATTTTTTTTTATTTTTTTTATATTTTATATTTTTTTAATTTTTTATATTTTTATATTTTATTTTTTTTTATATTTTATTTTTTTTATTATTTTTTTTATATTTTTTTATATTATTTTTTTTTATTATTTTTTTATATTTTTTTATAATTTTTTTTTATAT